TTTATTTTTCGCATAATCTTAATACGTTAATCTTTACATACATCTCGCTCTGTCCCATGGATCTATTATAATAACTGGATAGGGTATTACAGCTTGTAGCTGAATAACTCATGTGCTCAGGGGATTCTCGCGGTACTGCAGACTGAACCAGACTAAATTCACGTGGGCTACCCAGAAATTTTCCCCATAGAACTCAATGCATATTAAAACAGCTCAACCTCAGCTGAAAGAGAACCTACAGCTTTCATAAAGGTCGGATTTTGTGGGGATTTTAGTGTCCCTTGTCATCCTGAACTTTTTTTCTTCTTAAATCCTTCGGTTTTGTGTAAATCCACACTTTAGTGCCACAAACTCTGCTCGTCTGGCTCTCGCTCTAACTCCCGCTCTGATGAACTGCTCTGATTGGTCAGAGCGCGGCCGAGCCCCTCTGTGCACGTGCGTGAGACCCGGTGTGAGACCCACACACGCGTGTTTAGCGCAACGCATTATGGGAGATCATCCACTGCGCAGAACCGGGAGGACCAGACGATGCCCAAATACAGGCGAGTTTCCCATAGATCTTTGCGAGTTCCAGGCGACTTCCGCTAATCTTTCAGCCCCATGCCGTCACAAAGCGCCACTGAGCACAACCATTCATTTGAATAGGGCGCCATCTTGGATCGCCGGGGCTTGCTCTGTCCCCTCTACCTGCGAGGCGCTCTCGCCGCGCACACACACACACACACACACACACACACACACACAGGATATGTTAGAGTTCTTTTCTCTCTCCCCTTTTTCCAATTGCTTTCAATAAGTTTTGCTTCATCCATCGCAACGTCCTCAATGCTTCAATATGCTGTGCTTTGCACTGATCATAGCCACAGCTCATTCAAATCACACACCGCTTCTTCTATTTAAAACTATAGCGGCTGCCTATTGGAAGGTGTGGTGTATTCTGTAATGTAACAGTATCATCCTGTTTCACTAATGATCTTTGTTGACGCCCCTGACGTAACACGCATGGTTCATTATTCAGACTGTTGAGTAAAGCCTCATGTTAACAGCACACAGTTGTCCCACGTATCTTTGTTCAACCTCAGAACACGACATGGTGTCAGAAGTACTGTGTGACTTTTAAGAAAGGCAATAAGGGTCCGTCAAGTGGAAAAAGGGATTGAGGTGCGCAGTAATGTCAGACGAGGGGGAAGACCAACAAGTGAGGGCTGGAGTTAGCATGGCGGCTAGCACTCCCAGCGCTACGTTTAGCATACAGCCACCGGAGACCTTTGATTTTTCGAAACCACATGAATGGACAAAGTGGATACGTCGCTTCGAGAGATTTCGTCAGGCAAGTAATCTGTCAACAAGTTTGGAGGAAAATCAAGTCAACACATTGATATACTGCATGGGAGATGAAGCAGATGACGTCCTCAGGCTTAAAGCTAACTGAAGCAGAGCAGCTGGAGTACAACAAAGTGAGAGATGGCTTCCATAACTTTTTCATTGTGAAGAAAAATGTTGTGTACGAGCGTGCACGATTCAACATGCGCAAACAAGAGCCAAATGAGACTGTAGATGCATTTGTGACTGCCCTGCATGCATTAGCAGAGCATTGCAACTATGGTACACTCCATGATGAGCTCATAAGAGACAGAATAGTAGTGGGCTTGGCCGATACAAGACTGTCAGAGCGCATGCAAATGGAAAAGAACTTGGACTTGGAAAAAGCTGTAAATATGGCAAGACAAACAGAAGAGATCAAAAAGCAACAAACTGCTCTAAGAAGTGAAAGTAATGTGATGCAAATGACTGTGAGCTCTGTGGATAGAGTCATCAAAAGCAAACAACAGTACGAAAAAGCAAAGTTTGTTCCCAAATATAAAACCGTGAAAACACAGCAGCAGTTCAGCAGCCAAAGCACATCTAATGCACGGTGCTACAAATGTGGAGGGTCTCTTCATCCAAAAAAGGAGTGCCCTGCCAACAATGCAACATGTCATTCTTGTGGAAAGAAAGGCCACTACCAGCGTGTCTGCAGACAAGGTAAGACAGTACAAAGCATTGAAGAGGAAGAGGAACAAAGTTTCTTCCTTGGCTCAGTTTCCACTGACAACCAGGCGTGGACAGTAGAGCTTCAGGTGAAAGACACAAAAAGGACTTTCAAACTTGACACGGGAGCCGATGTGACTGCAATAGCAGAATCTGACTTAGTCAAAGTGTTTTCGACCGCTAAGCCTGTTTTACAGCGGCCAGAGAAACCGTTGTTTGGCCCAGGGAGAACGCCACTGGATGTTGCAGGATTCATAAAATTGCAGCTCAAGTACAGCACAAAGGTGACAACAGAGAAGGTCTATGTTGTTAAAAATCTTAGCACTCCACTTTTAGGCCTGCCCGCCATTTCAGCTCTTGGCCTTCTGGTGCGTGTTAATACTGTTTCAATGGACACTCTAAAAACAACGTACCCTAAACTGTGCAATGGACTGGGTGAAGTGCAGCAGCCATACCACATTAAACTCAAACCAAACGCTGTCCCGTACTCGCTCAAAACCCCCAGAAGGATTCTGATACCTTTAATGGGAAAAGTAAAGGAGGAACTCTGCAGAATGGAAGAGCTCGGAGTCATAACTCGAGTGGAGGAACCTACGGACTGGTGCGCCGGCATGGTCGTAGTTCCAAAGAAAAACAGTACTAGGTTGAGACTGTGCGTGGACTTTACAGGACTAAATGAGTTTGTGTGCAGAGAAAAGTTTGTGTTACCTTCTGTCGAACAAAGCCTTGGGATGCTTGCGGGAGCTAAAGTGTTCAGCAAACTAGACGCTAACATGGGCTTCTGGCAAATTCCCTTGTCGGAGGAGTCCGCCAACTTGACCACTTTCATAACACCCTTCGGACGGTTCCACTTCAACCGTCTCCCTTTTGGGATCAACTCTGCGCCTGAGCATTTCCAGCGCATGATGTCGGAGGTCATTGAAGGTCTTGAAGGGGTGGTCTGCCACATTGATGATGTGCTGGTATGGGGTCGCAATCAAGAAGAGCACGACACCCGACTCCATGCCACTCTGCGTAGACTTGAAAAAGCAGGTATTACCCTGAATGTGGAGAAATGTGATCTCTCACAGACCAAAGTGGCTTTCCTAGGGCATGTCATCGCAGACACAGGCATAAGTCCTGATCCGCAGAAAACAGAGTCCATCTCAGAGATGATGGTTTTGATGTTAAGGAGAATTGGTTATTTGTAGATATTATAGATGATGGTTATAATGGTTGGGAAGTTGATGTAGTGAGAGTTGATGGTAGATTATATTTTTAATTGAAGGTAGTGTATATTGGGAAGATGTATTTGGTATTTTTTTTGGTTTTGAATAGGGGTTTGGGGTATTTAATAAGTGAGGGGGGGGTGGATTGTGGGGGAGTAGGATTGTTTATGGAGGGTATGATGATGTAAGGGAATTAATGATGTGTTATGGGTGGGGATGGTAGTAGAGTTGATTGTTATGTGTGGGTGTATTTTTTTTTTATATAGTTGATTTAGATTAGGTTTTAGGGTTAAAGGGTTGGATATGGAGGTTTTTATTGGTTGGGGGGGATGGGTTGGGAGGTGTGGTTAGTTTAGGGGGGAGTGGAAGGGTAATTTGGGTTTAATTGGGTTGAAGTTTTTATTTGTGTTGGATGGAAGTGAAGGATTTTTGGTGATAGTAATTGGGGTGTGTTTTGTTTGTTGGTGATGATGGGGTGGGAGAAAAGTGTATTATAGGTAGAAGATTAAAGGTATTTGGGGGTGGAAGATTATTATTGAGTGTTGATATAATAGATTATATGTGATTGTTATTTATAGGGTAAGATGTTTGGGGTGGAGGGTGTTGTGGGGTGATGTGGTGTGAGTGAGGGTGTTTTTTATTGAAGTATGGTTTAGAGAATAGAGTTAATAATGTAGGTAGGGTTAAATTAAGTGGTAAATCTAGGGGTTAAATGGGTATTAGTTAAATTTGTGTAGGGGGGTTAAGATTAGGTGAGGGTTAATGGAGTATGTGTATAATAAGTGATTTAAATGTAGTAGTTAATTGGATTAGGTTAAATTAGTATTAAATGTATAGGTTTAATTAGTAGGTTAATTATTTTTTTAGGTTTAATTAGTAGGTTAATTTGAGGTTGAATGTAGTAGGTTAAATTATTGGGGTGGTTGAATTAGTAGGGTGGATTTAGTGAGGGTGTGAATGTATAGGGTGTAAATTATAGGGTTGAATTAGTTGGTGATATTTAGTAGGTGTAAATTAGTTGGTGGATGGAGGTGGATAAATTAGTGGAGGTTAAGGTATAGGTTAATTAGTAGGTTAAAATTAGGTATTGAATTAGTAGGTTGAAGTAGTGAGGGTTTATATTAGTAGTAAATTAGTAGGTTAATTAGTGGAGGGTGTGAATTAGTGAGGGGTTTAATTAGAATGTAATAATTGATTAGGTTATTTGAATGAGATAGATGGTGTAGATTTGATTTATAAGGTATTGGGTGAGATGATAATTTTTAATTTAATTTGATGTTTTGGTTTTAGAGTATTGAGTTATATTGGGTTTTTTTTTGGGGTGGTATTATAGAGTTGGTATTATTAGGTTTGGGTATTATAGTTGTATATTTTGGGGTTTATTATGAGGTTTGTTTTATTTGTTGGGGTATTTTATTGTTGGGTTTTATTTGGTGGGTTTTTTTTTGGTTGGGTATTATATTGTTGGGTTTTTTTTGGGGTTGGTATTAATTTAGTGTTGGGGATGGTTTATAGTTGGGTTTTTTTTGTGGTATTAATGTTTGTTGTTTAGTTTGTTTGGGTTTTATTAGTTGGGATTATTGTAGGTTGGTTGTTGTGGTTGGTTTTTTATTGTGTTTTTTTGGTGGGGTTGTTGGTGTTGTTTTTTTGGTGGGTTTATTTTGGTTGGGTTGTTATTTTGGGTTTTTTTGTTGTTGGGTTTTGTTTGGTTGGTTAGTTGTGGTGGGTTTTTTTGTTAGGGTGGGTTTTTTTTGGTTGGGTATGGTTTTAGGTTGGGTATGGTGGGTGGGGGGTTGTTGTTTGTGTTTGTTTTGTTGGAGTGTTTTTGGTGGGGGTTTGGTGTGGTTGTTTTTGTTGGTTTGGTTGGTTGTTTTGTTGGGTGTTGTTGGGGGGGAGTTTGGTGGTAGGTGTTGGGGTTGTATTTGTGGGGGGTTGGGTTTGGGTGGTTGTATTTGTTGGGTTTGTTTTTGGTGTGTTTGTTGTGAGTTTGGTATTATGTAGGTTTGGGTATTTTTATATGGGTGGTTTTTGTTGGTGGGTTTGGGTGGTTGTGTTTTGTGGGGTGTATGAGTGGTGGTTTTTTTTGTTTGTGTTGGTGGTGTGTGGTGGTTTGGTGGGGGTATGTTTTGGTGGGGAGTTGTTGGGGTGGTGGGGTGGGGGTGTGTTTGGTGTTTATTTTTGGTTTATGGTGGGGGTAAGGTGTGGGTGTTGGAGTTTGGGGGGTTGGGTGTGAGGGGTTGTGGGGTTGGGGGTGTTTTTTGTTTTTTGTTTTTAGGTTGGGTATGTTTATTGTTGTTGGTTTTTGGGGGGTATTTTTTGGTGGGTGTTTTGGGTTGGTGGGTGTGGGATTTTTTTGTTGGTTTGTTTAGTTGGGTTTGGGATTTAGTTGGTTTGTTTTATTGGGGTTTTTGGGTGGTTGGGGTTGTTTTAGGGTGGGGTGTATTAGTTGGGTATGTATGTTGTTTTGTGATGTGGGTGTTTGGTGTTGGTAGTTTTGGAGGGGGGTTTTTTGGTGTGGTTGTGGGTGGGGTTGAGGGTGTTGGTTGTTTGGTTGGGGTGTGGTTTTTAGGGTGGATTTTTGGTTGTTGGGTTTGTTTTTTGGTTGGTTTGGGTGTTTGGGTTGTTTGTGGTTGGGTATGTGGAGTGGTTTGTTTGGGGGGTGTTGGGGGTTTTTTTGGTTGGTTTTTTTGGAGGTGTGGGGTGTTGGGTTGGGGTGGTGTGTGGTGGGTTGTGTGTGGGGGGGTGGTGTTTTGGTGGGGGTGTGGTGGAGGGGGTTTGGTTGGGTGGTTGTGGTGTTGATGTTGTGGGGGGTTATGTATAGTAGTGGGGGGTGGTTTTTGTTGGGTTGGTTATTGGTGGGTTTTTTGTTGGGGTTTTGGTGGGGGTTGTTTTAGGTTGGGTAGTATATAGTTGTATTTTTGTTGGGGTATTGTTGTTTTTGTTGGTAGGTATTTTGTTGGGTATTATTTGTTTGGTATTATTGTTGGTATGGTATAGTTTGGTTATTAATTAGGTGGGTTGTATTTGGTTGGGTATAAGGTAGTGGGGATTAGTTGTATGTTAGTATAGGTATGGGGTTGGTTTGTAGGTTTGGGTTTTTATTAGTGTGGGGTATTATTGTTGGTTTTAGTATGTTGGGGGTTGGGGGTAAAAGGAGTGGGATGGTGTGGTTATGTTGTGGTAGGATTTTTGGGATTGGGTGAGATATGGTGTTTGTGTTTGGGGGGTGGTGGTGGTGTTTTGGTTGTTTTTTGGGTGGGGTTTTGGTGGGGGTGGGGGGGGGTTTGTGGGGATTGTGGTGGTGGGTGTAGAGTTGAGGAGGGTAGTTTAGTTTTTGTTATATTTGTTTGGTTGTTTGTTTGGGTGTGTGAGGTTTGTGGGGGTTTTTGTTGGTGTTGGTTTATTAAGGTTGTGGTTTGTTATGTGATGTTGGGTGGATATGATTTATTGTTGGGTAGAGTTGGAGGTAGTATATTGTGATGAGTTGGAGATGGTTGATGGGTTTTGGAGGTTGATTTTAGTGTTGTGGTTGGTATGGGAAAGAAGTAATGGGGTTGGGTTTATTGAAATGATATGGAAGAATGTGGATTATTTAAAGAAAGGGTTGAGGGATTTTGTTGGGTGGAATTGTTAGTTGTGTAAATAGTTGAGAAGAAGATAGATAAGAGGGGGTGGAAATTGGATTGAAATTGAGAGGGAGATTTAATGGGGAATGTAAGTTTAAAAATTTGGAAGGTGGAAGTTAAAGTGTGGAGAATTTTGGATTATTTTGGAGATGGGGTTTGTATTTTGTTGATTTGGATAGGGATATTGGTAGGGGAGAGTTGTTTTGTTGTGGGGTTGTGTTATTGGTAGGGGATGTTTGGGGGGAATATGGTTTTTTGGATTTGGTGTTATTGGGGATTTTGGGGTTGTGATGGGTGGAATATTGGGGTATATATGTGTTTGTGGTAGTTTTTGGGGTTATTTGGGTTTAGTATTTTTTGGTGTTTTAGGTGATATATTGTGTTATATGGTATTTGTGAGATTATGTGTTTGTATAGTGTTATTGGTGGATTATGTGATTTAGGTGGATTTAGGTGATATTGGTGATATTATGGTGGATTTATGGTGTTTTAGATATTTTATTTTATTAGAAGTATTTGTATGGATAGGGATTGATATTGGTGTTAGGTTTTTTTTTTTTAGTTTGTGTGGGTGTTTAGGAGTGGTTTAATTGTTTAATTTTTATTTTTATTTTATTTTATAGTTATTTGTATTTGGTTTTGTTTAATTTGTTTTTGTTTTTATTAATTTTTATTTATAATTTTTTAAGTTTGATTTTTAATTGTAATTTTTTTAATTTGTTATTTTATTTTTTTTTGTTAATTGTTTAATTTGGGTGTTTTTTTGGTTGTGTTTTAATGTTGTTGTATTGGGGTTTGTTTAAGTTGTATTTTTTGTTGATTGGGTTTTTTGGGTTGTGTGTTTATTGTTTAATTTTTTTGAAGGTTTTAAAGTTTTTGTAATTTGTATTGTGTTATGTGTTGTTTTGTTATTTTTATTTTTGGTTAATTGTTTAAATTGTTTTAGTTGTTTAATTTGATTGTTTGTTTAGGTGGTTGTTGATTTTAATTTGTTAAAGTTTGTTTTTTGTGGGGTTAGTGGGTGGTGTTGGGATGGAGTAGTTGTGTGTTGGTTGGATGGTGTTTGTGTGTTGTGTTTAGATGTGGGGTTGGTGTGGGTGTGGGTTGTGGTTTGAGTGTGTTGGTTGTTGGAGTTTGTGTGGTGTGTTTGTAGGTGGGTTTGGTGTGTGTTGGTGGGTAGTGGGTTGGTTAGTTGTGGGTTGTGGGGGGTTTGATGTGTTTTTGTGTGGTTTTTGGGTGTGTAGTGGTTTTGGTTTGGTTGGGAATGGTTTTGTGTGTTGTTTGTTTTGTGGAAGGGTGGGGTGTGGTGGTGTGAGGTGTTGGGAGGGTTGTTTGGTTGTGTTGGTGTTTGTGGATGGGAGGTTTGTGTGGGTTTGGTTGGAGTTTGTGTGTGTTGGGGGATTGTGGTTGGGTGTTTTTTTGGTTGAGGGGGGTTTGGGTGGTGGTAGAGGTTGTTGTTGTTGATTTTTTTTGTTTATTTGGTGGTTGTGGGGGGTTTTGTGTGTTGGTGTGTTGTTGTGGTTGGTGGGGTTTGGGGTTGGAGTTGGGTTTGTTGTATTGGGTTTGGTTTGGGGTTTGTTTGTTGTGTGTTTGTGGTGTTGTGTAGGGTTTTTTGGGTATTTTGTTATATGATATTTTTTTTGTTTTTTGTGTTTTGTTTTATGTGTTGTGTGTGGGAATTTTATAGGGGTTAGGGGAATTGGTTGGGGGTGGAGGGGTGTTGTTGGTTGTTTTGGGAGGTGTAAGGGGGTTGTTTTGTTGTGTGTTGTTGGGTGGTTTTTTGTGTTTGGGTTGGGTTGGGTGGGTGTGTTGGTGGGTTGTGTTGGGTTAGGGTTTTTGGGGGTTTTTGGTGGTGGTTTGTGGTTGGTTGGGTTGTATTTGTTTTTTGTTGTGGGGGTTTTTGTTGTTGGGGTTGTGTGTGTTGTTTTTTTGGTGTTTTGTTTGAATGTTGGGTTTGTTTTTTTTTGTTGTTTTTTTTGTTGTGTGGTTTTTGGTTGGGTTTTTTTGTGTGTAATATTTTGGTTGGAGGGTTGGGGGGTGTGGGGTTGGAGTTGGGGGGTTGTTTTTGGGTGTGGGTTTGGTGTTTGGTTGTGGTTTTTTGGGTTTGTTTTATTGTTTGGTTTGGTGTTGTGTTTTTGGGGTTATGTTTAGGGGGGTTGTTTGGGTTTTTTGTTTGTTTTGGTTTTGTGGTGTATTTTGGTTTATTGTATGGTTGTTTGGTGTGTTTGTAATGGGGTTTTTGGTGTTTTTTGTATGTGTGTGTTGTTTGTGGTATTGTGTAATGTTTGTATGTTTTTGTGATGTTATGGGTTATGGTGTTTGAGGAGTGGGTTTGTTGGGATATGTTTGGGATTTAGGATGGGGGTGGGGTGTTTGTGTATTTGTTGTTTGAGTATGTTTTGTTTTGTTTTGGTAGTAGGTGTTATTTGGGGGATGGTTTGTGTTGTATGGGTATATGGTTTTTTTTTGTGGTGTATTTATTGGTATTGTTTAAGTTGTATGGTTTTGGTTGTTTTGGTATTTTGTGTAATGTGTTAGGTTTTGTGTGTAATGGTATAGGTTTAATTAGTATGTTTGTAATGGGTAATTTGGGTATTAAATGGTGTAATGTATATGGTTTTTAGGTAATTGGGGTATATTTTATATTAGTATGTGTTTGTATGTAATTGGGTTTTTATGTGGTGAATTTGTATGGTTGGTGTTGTAATTGGTTTATGTTTAATTTATTGTGGTGGTGTGGATGTGATAATGGTTGGAAGGTGGTTGGGATATTTAATTTTGGATATGGGGTTTGGTTTTAGTAGGTGGTGGGGGGGTGGTTTATTGGGAGTGGGTTTTGATATTGAGGGTATGAGGTATGGAGTTTTTGGGTGTTGATTGGTGGTTTAGGTTGATTTTTTATGGGGGGAGGTAAGATAGAGTATGTGTATTGTATAAGAATTGTAGAGAGTTGGGTGGGGATTTGATTGTGGGTTAGAGTAATTATGATTATGGGGTTGTATGGTGTGGTAGTGTGTATAGGTTGTGAAATGGGTAGGTTTGGTTTTGTGTTGGTTATTGTGGTTAGATGTTTATGGGTGGGTGTTGGGGTATTTGGGGTGGGGTGGTTGGGGTGGGTGTGGGGGTTTGTGTTGTGGTGGGTGTTTGGGGGATGGGTGGTTTGTGTTTGGTTTGTGTGGGTTGTTGTTTTGTGGTGGGGGGTTTTTGTTTTGGGGTTTGTTGTGGGGGGGGTGGTGTGGTTTTGTTTGGTGTTGTTGATTTGTTGGTGTTGGTGGGGTTTGTTGGGGGTTGTTGTTTTTGTGTGGGGTGGTGGGTGGGTGGTGGGGGGGGTGTTTTGTTTGTGATGGGTTTGGGGTTGTGGGTGTTGTTTTGTGTGTTTTGTGGTTTTTGGGTTGTTTTTTTGTTGTTGGGTTGGTGGTGGTTTGGGTGGTTGGTGGGGGTTGTGTGTGGGTGGTTATTTGATTATTTTGTGGTTTTTTATGAGGTTGTTGTGGGTGGGTGTTGTTGTGTGGGGTTTGTTTGTGTTGGTGTTTTTTGTTGTGGGGAGGGGTGGGTGTGTGTGGTTAGTGAGTTATGTTTGTTGAGGTGTTTTTGTTGGTGTGGTTGTGTTTTTTGGTAATTGTTGTGGGTGTTTTTTGTTGGTGGTTAATTGATTTGGTTATGTTTATTTTGGGGTTTTTATTTTTGTTGTTTGGTGTTGATTGTGTTATAGGTTTGTTTATGTTATATTGGTGTATGTTTGGAGAAGTATTTGAGTGTTTGTAATGGGTGAGTGATGTAAGTTGTTATGGATAAAAGTTTGGGTTGTGTGTTTTGTGATTTGAGTTATAGGTTAATGTAGATTGATTTGTGTTGTGGTTTTTTTTATGAGATTGGTGTGATGTGAAGGGAGAGGGAGTTTGTGTGTAGAGAGAGTAAGAAGATTAGAGAGAGGAGAGAGTGAGAAGAGAGAATAGTAGATAGAGAGTTAAGTTTTGAAGTAGTGTTAGATTGAAGAGAAGAAGAAGAAGAGAAGAGGAGAGTAGATATGAATGTTTATAAAGGTGAGAAGTAAGAAGAAGTGGTAAGGGTGTAGTGATTTGAGTGAGAGAGTTTTGAGAATGTGAGTGATGGAAAGAAGGGAAGATTAGAGAGTGTGTTGTAGTGTGTGTGTGTTTTGTGTGTTTTTTGGTTAGTTGATGTATGTGAGAGTTTTGTGTGTGTATGATTGTGTGTTGTGTGTGTTGAGATGAAAGTGTTGTTTGGGTTGTTTGTTTTTGTGTTGGTGATATTTTGTTTGTTTGTTTTATTTGTGTTGTTTGTGTTTGTTGAGTGTTGTGTGTGAGTGTTTGTTTTGTGTGTTTTGTGTTTGTGTATGTGTGTTGAAGTGGTTGAGTGAGTTTGTGTCGTTGTCATGTTGTTTGTTGTGTGTTGTTTGTGGTGTGTAGAGTGTAGATTGTAGTGGATGAGAGATGTGTTGATGTGTTTGGTGTAATGTTTTATGTGAGTGGATTGAGAGTGTGTTGTGTGTGTGTGTGAGTGGAAGTGTGAGTGTGTGTTTATGTTTTTGTTGTAGTGTTGGGTGTGTGTTTGTGTGTTTTGTGTTGTGTTTTGAGATTTGTGTTGTGTTTTTTGTTGTGTGTGTGTGTTGTGTTGGTTGTTTTAGTGAGTATTTTGTGTGTGTGTTTTTGTTGTGAGTTGTGTTGTGTGGGTGTTTTGTTTGTGTTTTGTGGGTTTGTTGTTGTTTGTGTGTGAAGTGAGTGGTTAGATAGATGTAGATGTGAGTGATGAGAAGAAGTGTAGGTTGTTTGTGTAGAGAGTTGAGATTGTGTATTTTTTTTTATTTGTGTTTGGTGTTTGTTGGGGGTTGTGTTTTGTGTATGGTTTGGTTGGGGGGTGTTTGTTTGGGGTTTGGGGGGGGGGGTTAGGTGGGGGGTGGGTTATGGTGTAGTGGTGGTGTTTGTGTTTGTGGTGTTATAGTTGTTGTTTTTGTGTGTTTGGGGTTGTTGTGTTTTTTTTTTGTTTTTGATTGATGTTGGTGGTTGTTTTTGTGGTTAGGGTGTGGGGTTGTTTGTTTTTTGTGGTGAGGTTGTGGGGGTTGGTTGTTTTTGGTGTTTGGGGTTTTTGGGTATGTGTGGGTGTTGGTTTTGGGGGGGGGTGTTTGTTGGGTTGGGTTTTTTTGGTGTTTTTTTGGGGGTTTGTTAGGTTTTTTTGGAATGTTTGTTTTTTTTGTGGTTTGAGTTGTTGTGGGTATGGGTGAGTTTGGGTGGTGGTGTTTTTTTGGTTGTTTTGGATATTGAGTATTATGTGATATGAGTGGGGGGGTTTGGGTTTTGTTGTTGAGGTTGTTTGTTTGTTGGTTGTTTAGGGTTTTTTTGTTTATGAGTTGGTTTGTTGGTTGGGGTGTGGTTGTTTTGTGGGGTGTTTGTGGTGGGTTGTGGTTTTGGTTTTTGTGGGGGTGGGTGTGGGGGGTGGAGGTTGTGTGGTTGTTGGGGGTTTGGGGGTTTGGTTGTTTGGTGTGGGGGTTGGTTGTGGGGGGGTGGGTGTTTTGTTTTTGGGGGTTTTGGGGTGGTTTTTGTTTTTGTTTTGTATGTTATGGGTGTTGTGGTGGTGGTAGGTAGGGTGGGTTGTATGTTGTTTTTGTTTTTTTGTGTTGTGTGTGTTTTGTTGGGGTGTGTTTGTTTTGTTTGGGGGGGTGTTTGGGGGTTAGGTTGGTTTGTTGGGTGTTTGGTGTTTGGGGGTGGGGGTGGGGGTATGTTGGGTGTGGGGGTTGGGGGGGGGGGTGGTGGGGGGGTTGGGGGGGTGGGGTGGTGGGGGGGTGGGGGTTTGGGGGGTGGGTTTTTGGTGTTTTGTGGGATGGGGGGGGTGGGTGGGGGGGTTGGGGGGGGGTGGTGTGTATTGTGGTTTTGTTTGAGGGGTTTTGTTTTGTTGGTTTTTTGGTGTGTTTTGTTTTTTGTGGGTGGTGGTGTTGTGTTTGGGTGTTTGGTGGGGGGTTGTGGTTGGGGGTGTTGTGGTTGTTATTTGTGTGTGTGGGTTTGGGGGGGGTGGGGTTGTTGTGTGGGGGTTTGGGTGGGGTTGTTGGTGTTATTTGTGGTGTTTTGTTGGGTGAGGGTTTTTGTTTGTGGGGGGTGGGGGTTTGTGGGGGGGTTGGGGTTTGGGGGGGGGGGGTGGGGTTGGGGGGGGGTGGGGGTGGGGGGGTGTTGGGTTTGGGGGTGGGGTTGGAGTGTGGGTTGGGGGGGGGTGTGGGGTGGGTGGTTGGGTGGGTTGTGGGGGGGGTGGGGGGTGGGTGGGGGTTGGTGTGGGTGTGTGGGTTGGTTGTGGTTTGTTTGTGTGGGTTGGTGGGTTGGGGTTGTTGTGGGTGTTGTGGTGGTGTGGGTTGTTTTGGTTGGTAGTTTTAGGAATGTTGTGGATAGTTAATTTTTTTTTTTTGTTTTTTGGTTTTAGTTATTTTATTGTGTTTTGTGTTTGTGTGTTTGTGGGTGTTTGGGGGTGGGGGGTGGTTGTGTGTTTGTGTGGTGGTGGTTTTTGGGGTTTGGTGGTTTGTTTGTGGGTTTTGTGTGGGTTTTGTTTGTTGTGTGGTTGTTTTTGGGGGTTGGGGTGTTTGGGGGGTTGGGGGGGTGGTGGGGGTGTTTAGTTTTTGGTGGGTTGTGGTGGTTTGGGTTGTGGGTTTGTGTGGGGTGGGGGGGGGGTGGGTGTGGTGTGGGGGTGGGGTTGTGGGTGGTGGGGTGGGTTGGGTTTTGTGGGAGTTTGTTGGTGTGTGGGGTGTGGGGGTGTTGGTATTGTTGGGGGTTTGTTTGGGGTTGTGTGTTGTGTGTGGTGTTTGTGGGGGGTTTGTTTGGTGGTGTGTGGTGGGGGGGTGTTGTTGGGGGGGTGGTTGGGGGTGGGGTGGGGTGGGGGTGTGTTGGGGGGGGTTGGTTGTGTGTTGTTGGTTGGGTGTTGGGGTTTTGGTGGGGTGGTTTTGGTGGGTGTTGTGTGTTTTGTGGGGTGGTGTTTTTGGGGGGTTGTGGGGGTTTTGGGGTTGTGGTTGTGGGGTGTGTGGGGGTGTTTGTGGTTTGGGGGGGGTTGGGGGTGGGTGGTTGGGAGGTTTTTTGTGGGTTTGGTGTTTGTGGGGGGTTGGGTTGGTGGGTGTGTTGGGTGGGTGGGTTTGTGGGGTGTGTTTGTGGGTTTTGTTTGGTTGTTGGGGTTGTGTGGGGGTTGTTTGTTGTGTGGTTGGGGGTTGAGTTTGTTTGGTGTTTTGTGTTGTTTTGGTTAGGGTTTTTGTTGGTGATGGTGTTGTAGTGTGGTTTTGGGGTTGTGTTGGGTGGTTGAGTAGGTGGTTTGGGGGTTTGTGGTTTGGGGTTGTATTAGGAGGTGTTTTGGTGGTGTGGTTTTGGTTGTGGTTGTGTTGGGGTTTTTGGGTGTATTTGGGAAGTTTTTGGGTGTTGTTGGTGATGGTGGTTTGGTTGGGGTTTTTGGTGGGGTTGGTTGTTGAGTGTTGTTGTGTGTTTTTTGGGTTGTGGTGTTGTGTTAGGGGGTTTTGTTGGTGTGTTTTTGTGGGTTTGGTTGTGGTGGGTAAATAAATAAAATAAGACGTACATGTAGGAAATGACCATGGACCAGAGTTTACACATGGTAAGACCAGACGTACATGTAGGAGATGATCATGGACCGAGTGCGTCTGGGGAAGAATGTCTCGGACTCTGGGATTATAAATACAGGAGCCCCACAGGGCTGTGTTCTTTCTCCCCTGCTCTTCTCCCTGTACACCAACCACTGCACCTCCAGCCACGACTCCGTGAAGCTGATCAAGTTCGCGGACGACACCACCCTCATTGGACTCATCTCCAACAACGATGAGTCCGCCTACAGGAGGGAGGTGGACCGGCTGGTGTCCTGGTGTCTCCTACAGGAGGGAGGTGGACCGGCTGGTGTCCTGGTGTCTCCTACAGGAGGGAGGTGGACCGGCTGGTGTCCTGGTGTCTCCTACAGGAGGGAGGTGGACCGGCTGGTGTCCTGGTGTCTCCTACAGGAGGGAGGTGGACCGGCTGGTGTCCTGGTGTCTCCTACAGGAGGGAGGTGGACCGGCTGGTGTCCTGGTGTCTCCTACAGGAGGGAGGTGGACCGGCTGGTGTCCTGGTGTCTCCTACAGGAGGGAGGTGGACCGGCTGGTGTCCTGGTGTCTCCTACAGGAGGGAGGTGGACCGGCTGGTGTCCTGGTGCAGTGGTAACAACCTGGAGCTGAACGCCCAGAAGACAGTGGAGATGATTGTGGACTTCAGGAAGAGCACTGTCCCCCCGCCCCCACCCTCCGTGATGGACTCCCCCATCACCTCTGTGGAGTCCTTCCGTTTCCTGGGCACCACCATCACCCAGGACCTCAAGTGGGAGCCGACCATCAGCTCCTCATCAAGAAGGCCCAGCAGAGGATGTACTTCCTGCGGCAGCTCAGGAAAGCCAAGCTGCAGTTCTACACGGCCATCATCGAGTCCATCCTCACCTCCTCCATCACCTCCTCATCACCTCCTCCAGCACCTCCTCCATCACCTCCTCCATCACCTCCTCATCACCTCCTCCATCACCTCCTCCATCACCTCCTCCATCACCTCCTCCACCACCTCCTCATCACCTCCTCCATCACCTCCTCCATCACCTCCTCCACCACCTCCTCATCACCTCCTCCATCACCTCCTCCATCACCTCCTCCGTCACCGTGTGGTTCGCTGGAGCCACAGTCAGGGACAAACAGAGACTACAGTGCATTGTGCGCTCTGCAGAGGAAGTGATCGGCCGCAGCCTTCCATCGCTGCAGGACCTGTACGTCGCCCGAGCTCGAGGCCGGGCTGGTCGTATCACAGCCGACCCCTCTCACCTGCACATGGACTATTCCAACCACTCCCCTCTCACCTGCACATGGACTATTCCAACCACTCCCCTCTCACCTGCACATGGACTATTCCAACCACTCCCCTCTCACCCTGCACATGGACTATTCCAACCACTCCCCTCTCACCCTGCACATGGACTATTCCAACCACTCCCCTCTCACCTGCACATGGACTATTCCAACCACTCCCCTCTCACCTGCATATGGACTATTCCAACCACTCCCCTCAGGCAGGAGGCTGCGGTCCATCAGGACTAGAACCTCCCGCCACAAGAACAGTTTCTTCCCCTCTGCTGTTGGACTCTTGAACACTTCTGAACCTGTCCCCCCGCCCTTTATAAAGTCACTTTACTGCCCATCATACGTCACTTTACTTCACTGTACTGCTGTCACCTTACATTGTGTGCACCATGTGCACTTGGATATTGTAAATAGTAACTGTAACTCTATTTTAAATTTACATTTATTCTTTAGAAGTGTTTTTTATTCTTATTTTTATTATCTCTTTTTGACTGTTGCACTGAGTCAAAATAATTTCCTAGTCTGTGACTTCCTGTTACTTACGTGGCAATAAAAATGATTCTGATTCTGATTCTGAGTTTACACATGGTAAGACCAGACGTACATGTAGGAAATGACCATGGACCAGAGTTTACACATGGTAAGACCAGACGTACATGTAGGAAATGACCATGGACCAGAGTTTACACATGGTAAGACCAGACGTACATGTAGGAGATGATCATGGACCAGAGTTTACACATGGTAAGACCAGAGTTTACACATGGTAAGACCAGAGTTTACACATGGTAAGACCCATAATAATACACGTTATTCACAACACACCTTACATTTACACCAAACCTCATTAAAATTCAATACAAACAGACCTCTGCACTCTGATTGGCTGAATGTGGGTGAGTGCACTTTACTGTTAGAATAAGCAGCTCAGAAGACGCCGAAGAATACATAATAATAATAACAATAATGGAAACAGAGAGTGAGAAACTAGTTCTATGGATTGTATTGGCTCGTTCACACACTCGTGATGGGTGAGTTGAAGCCGGGAATCTCTACAAAACAGTGTATATACGGACATTTGTTTTTGATTATGCCTCAAAATCCCACATAATCCCTGATGAATTGGTAAAATATTTGTCTTTCAGCCAATTCTCGTTCCTTCATGGCAAAGTTTACAGCTCAGAACAACCGGAATCCAGTCACAAACGTTGGTCAATGGTGAACGATGAATAACCAAAAGTATTTGTAACTTTATAATCAAGCCAGACTTCTCGGGATCCATGATAACTATAACCCAGCGGGAAATATTCTCAACTGTTGTAAGGTTGAAAGAAAGAACCCTACGAGTCTCCCATCAGTCAACACCGTTTTTCAATCCGGGTTCAGCCTCTAGACAAGCGCGGTAAACACAAAATATCCCTCCTACTCAAAAGTTTACACACCCCTGCTTTAGCTAATCCCACTGATTGTTGAAGTTGCGAAAGTGTCCAGAGTTTTGCAGAGCAGTGTGTCGGCTCTGGGCAGATCTCCAGATAAAGCAGATGAATTGTTTTGTTAACTCTCCTTAGGGTGTTTTTCATATCTTCTCCCCACAGACCGGGCCCTGAGCTCTGGACTTTTGCTTCTGACTTTCTGCACAAAGTCTGCACGAAGCGACGAGAAGACAGGACAGGTATGTGTGACTGGTGAGTTGATTGGAAAAAGCAATACTATTTGTTTTTGTGTGGGTTTAAATCACAACAGCAGGGATTCTTGGAGGACTTTGCGGTGTTGTTGATTCAAAATTCTCTCGAAAACAGAAAGATTTTAATAGTTATAAGACAGGAAACGCAGTAATAACAAACATACAGGAGCCGTTGGTCCATAGGGAGAAGAGACCACTGTCCATATATGTTTATAAATCTGTAGCTGTAGATCCTGGGACTCAGGCTGTAGATCCAGGACTGAGGCTGTAGACCCAGGACTGAGGCTGTAGACCCAGGACTGAGGCTGTAGATCCAGGACTGAGGCTGTAGACCCAGGACTGAGGCTGTAGACCCAGGACTGAGGCTGTAGACCCAGGACTGAGGCTGTAGATCCAGGACTGAGGCTGTAGACCCAGGACTCAGGCTGTAGATCCAGGACTGAGGCTGTAGACCCAGGACTGAGGCTGTAGACCCAGGACTGAGGCTGTAGACCCAGGACTGAGGCTGTAGACCCAGGACTGAGGCTGTAGACCCAGGACTGAGGCTGTAGACCCAGGACTCAGGCTGTAGACCCAGGACTGAGGCTGTAGACCCAGGACTGAGGCTGTAGATCCAGGACTCAGACTGTAGACCCAGGACTCAGACTGTGTGGTTCAGGACTGAGGAGGTTCCCAGGCAGAAAGAATAAGCGCCACTAGAAAACATGTTTCAAAGGATTTGCCCTTAACCAAGTTGTTTTTCTATTTTAACCACATTTGAGCAAATTCTTTTACATTTACCACTAATGACTAAACAAATATTCAAACTAAACCTGTTTTTGTGATTCATACATTTTATGAATACTTCTGTTTTTATGGATTCCCACTGGCGCTCTGTCTGCAATTATCACCCATGAAAATAGTAAATTGTATATACATGCTTTTTGTTCAGGCACAAGCTGTTGTTGCAGATTAGAACGACTGCAGATCGTTGCCAAAAGTCTATAAAATCCCCGAAAAGCAAAAACAAAGACGTCTCTGGTCACGGGTCGAGGCTGTTCGATGATACAGCTCAGTTGGAGAAGCGTCGGATAGAAGCCGTCAGTGTGCAGAGGGGACGAGGAGGCGTTTGGTTCAGCGCTGGATAACTTTGCAAAGGAGAAGATTGTCGCTGACGTTGGAGTCGCTGTAGAAAACACTGGGACCTTTTAAACATGGCGTCTGTGGGATTAGGGCCCAGTGGAGCCTCCGGTGGCGAGGCTGTCAACACTGGGTCCAGCAAGGTTAAGGAGGATTTGGGAAGAACGCATTAAACAGGTCAAAATGGCTTAAATATGTATTAGCTGGGATCATTTTAGAATATTTAAATGTCTTATTTACCTCGCTAGATAATCTTTCTACAGACAAGTGAAGGCAACAATGAATCAGCAAATAATATTTAAGGCAAGTTTGTTTGAGTTGCCTTGTGTATGAATTGTGCTGAACAAAATGAGATTACAGGTAAAAAAGAGCATTAAAATCATAAATTATCACAGAGCATTAAAAAGAAAGATAAAAATATAAAATCCCTCAGTTGTAGCACAGCTAAACAGAACTGTCTTTAACCTGGTTTTAAACATTGTCAGAGAGGAGGCCTGTCTCACATCTTCAGGAAGACTGTTCCAGATTTTAGCAGCATGAATCTGAAAAGCAGCCTCCCCATGTTTAGTTCTGACTCTGGGCACTAACAGGAGTCCAGTCCCTGTGCTCCTCAGAGTCCCAGCAGGAGTCCAGTCCCTGTGCTCCTCAGAGTCCCAGCAGGAGTCCAGTCCCTGTGCTCCTCAGAGTCCCAGCAGGAGGCCAGTCCCTGTGCTCCTCAGAGTCCCAGCAGGAGTCCAGTCCCTGTGCTCCTCAGAGTCACCAGCAGGAGGCCAGTCCCTGTGCTCCTCAGAGTCCCAGCAGGAGGCCAGTCCCTGTGCTCCTCAGAGTCCCAGCAGGAGTCCAGTCCCTGTGCTCCTCAGAGTCCCAGCAGGAGGCCAGTCCCTGTGCTCCTCAGAGTCCGCACTGGTTCTATTTATACATTGTAGTACCAATGTACGGAATATTTGAACAAAAAACAAAATTCTGTGGACTCTTAAGGTGTACAGGAGGATTTGCTACAACCGGGTGGATGATGAAGACGATTGGTCCTCCCAACTGTCAATCATTCTGGTGAAGGCTCCATTAGACTGGAATAAACTCACATCCATACAATCCGTTTAGTCTTTTGGTTCATTTAAGTTAGAATTATTTATTTATGTTCCTTAAAACTCCTCGTTAATGTTACTAATGTTTTATATGTGTCGTCATTAATAGTTTTTGTCTCTTTCTAAATGTTTTTTTTAGCAGAAGGCACGAGTGGGGGTTTGCTTTGTTTATGTTTTTATTTGTGTTTTTGTCATTTTTTCTTATCCTTAATTCACTGTAAATGGTTTTGTGTGTTTACATGAGTTTGATTCAAGAGGAGAGGGCGGTTCTTTCCTAAAATCTGGGAAAATCCTTTTATATACATTTAATTTGGCATTTCTGGACATCCATCAAGACCTATTTGTTAATTAAAAGCATTCCTAATTTTAAACGGGTCACTGAGGTTACTGAAACGTAACCCTAATCCTGAGCACTTTGAACTTCTTTAAGCTTTAAGTTACTCTAGAGGTCAATTTTAATACTTCTCTGTCCCTAAAGCTTTCCAAATACATATCCAATACCCTTTAGTAAAGATTATTGTGTGTCGCAAAGATACCCAATACCAAAAGACCATGTATAATCCCATTCCTGCAGATGTCACAGGCTAATTGCTGGAAGTCCTGAATGTTGAATACAGCCATAAACATGAGTGTTATTGATAAAGAAGTCCGAGTAGAAGTCTGAGGAGCAACGCCGACCGAGTGTCTGCTCCACTGTGCAGGAGATCGATGTGATATTGGAGAATAACATGGGAATGGGGAGAATAATGGGAGCTGGTTATTGGATACTAGTATGAATACATATGGTTGTTAGCAGCCCATATTGTCCTGGGTTAACGATTTCTTCTGAGAGGTTTCTATTGAAGTTTTTAAAAAGGTGAAAAATTTGGAGAATATTACAGTGAAAGAGACATACTGTAAACTTCTATTCAGACATGCACCAGAATGTTATCAAAATGTTTAGGAATCAACGTTTTGAGGCAAAGCTAAGTTCAAAAATCAACAATATTGTCAAAAAACAACTATAAATGACACCAAAGAGAGTCTCAGTATAGTCTGCATGTATACTGAGACTAGAGAGGTCTGAGTCTGCATGTAGACTGAGACTAGAGAGGTCTGGGTCTGCATGTAGACTGAGACTAGAGAGGTCTGAGTCTGCATGTAGACTGAGACTAGAGAGGTCTGGGTCTGCATGTAGACTGAGACTAGAGAGGTCTGAGTCTGCATGTAGACTGAGACTAGAGAGGTCTGAGTCTGCATGTATACTGAGACTAGAGAGGTCTGAGTCTGCATGTAGACTGAGACTAGAGAGGTCTGAGTCTGCATGTAGACTGAGACTAGAGAGGTCTGAGTCTGCATGTAGACTGAGACTAGAGAGGTCTGGGTCTGCATGTAGACTGAGACTAGAGAGGTCTGAGTCTGCATGTAGACTGAGACTAGAGAGGTCTGAGTCTGCATGTATACTGAGACCAGAGAGGTCTGGGTCTGCATGTAGACTGAGACTAGAGAGGTCTGAGTCTGCATGTAGACTGAGACTAGAGAGGTCTGAGTCTGCATGTATACTGAGACTAGAGAGGTCTGGGTCTGCATGTAGACTGAGACTAGAGAGGTCTGCATGTAGACTGAGACTAGAGAGGTCTGCATGTAGACTGAGACTAGAGAGGTCTGAGTCTGCATGTATACTGAGACTAGAGAGGTCTGGGTCTTGTTTGGCTCCCACACTTCACTCTAGTCTAGATCCATAAAAGCAGCAGAACCAGAGGCGATCGATGCGAGCGGGACATTTACAAAGACATTCCCTGAACTGGAGACAGAATAACTTTGTCGTCACGTCACATAGAGATAGATTTATTTAGGGATGTCCCGGATCCAGGGGTTTTAACTTCTGAACATTCTCCATTTCAATCTTAAGTGTTGATTTTGTGCGCCTGTATTAATGTACACACTTATGGGATCCTAAAAACACAAAACTCTGATTTTAAACTTGTGTATATTGCAGACAAATGCTTAAAATCTCTATTGTTCAAGAAGGCTGTGTTTACAATTATATATATATATGTTCAACTGAAATGTTAATGATGTAGAAAACATGTAAACACAGACATTAGTTCTTTGTCTTTGTGTAAAACTGTCAAAAGCTTGAGTTTGCTACTTTTTTATCTTATTTTCTCATTAAAATACATTGTGTTTGTTCCAGCAGCAAAAAAGTCTCATAAAAGTAAAATGTTCTGAACAAATTGGACCATTTCAGCCGATCAATAATCAAACATGTCTCACATTCGAAAGCCAGATCCTGTCAGACCTCTGAAGCTAAGCAGGGCATGGCTTGGTTAGTGCTGTGATGGGAGACCTCTGGGAACAGCAGGTGCCACAGTGGGGTGACTGTGGTTGTGTCCTTAGGCAAGACACTTCCCCCACATTAGAATGAGTCTGGTGAGTGTGTTGCTTAGTCCAGACTACCCCAGGACAGCTGTGGCTACAATAGTTGAGATAAACATTAAGATGGAAACATTTTCATGTCACGTTTAGCACAGATCACTCAGAATGTGCAAAAAAACGGAAGTGTGCAACATGTTATGGCTTAAAATACAGTACAATACAATTTATTCTTGTATTTCCCTAAATCACAACTGCATCATCTCAGAGACTTAACAAAACCATTGAAATCACCGACACAGATCAGAGAATCAACAGTTAAAACACATGAAGAATATAGAACACATGTTGAAACAATGGTCTGTGCAGGATATAATCATGGTTTCTGTCCTAGTGCAGGTCATTATCGTGTGTTTTATTTGTGGCCTTAAAATCATATACCCGAGCTTTAAATGAACCTGCAACTCCTCCTTCATATCTGAGGAAGTGGATCAGAACATGGCCGAGTCCTGGAGGGGCGTGGATCCCGAGCCCAGAGGGATAAACTACAGCTTCATTTGAGAACAAGCTAACATTAGCTCGTTGCTAACATGACTCGTTGCTAACATTAGCTCGTTGCTAACATGACTCGTTGCTAACATGACTCGTTGCTAATATTAGCTCGTTGCTAATGAGAAAGCATTTGCTGGAGGAACACTGTGGACGTATAAGGTTCTGATCCTTCTCCTTCACTCATCACTTGTTCATACTTGACCCCTTTTTAGCCAGATTACATTTTAGCAGATTAGCAGAACCTCACCATTTTGTTTCATAAATAACACGTGTTGTTTGTCCGTTCTTAAGCCTTATATTAGATAGATTAAGATAGATAAATCAGTACTTTATGGTCAGACTCGCTGCACACGTACAGGACATTTAACAAGGACAAACAATTCAATTTATGATTTAAGCTCGTTTAGTTTCAGGTTGGACAAAAGAATTCTCGAGTCTGACCCTACAGTATGTAAGTGTTTGCAAACAAGAAAGAGCTCAGGGAGTCACCGGACACTGAGAGCTACTTTTCTACACCAGAGGAGGCAGAGATCTACAGAGAGCTACAGAGAACATGAGACTAAAGGACGCTCTGTGGCGAGGTGTGAGGACCGTAACGAGCCCCGGTGACGCTGCAGTCTTTGGAGGGACAGGGTGGACCTATCCATTCAGACCCAGAGGGGAGCAGGACCAGGGGAGCAGGACCAGGTGAGCAGGACCAGGGGAGCAGGACCAGGGGAGCAGGACCAGGTGAGACCAGGTGAGGCCGGGAGAAGGGGGGGGGGGGGGCAGTACCTGGAAGAGCTGGTCGGCGCTGCTGCAGTGGATGGAGGCGGGCGAGGCATGGGCTTGCTGGTCGCTGCACCACTGGAGCTCGCTGAGACAGTTGACGCTGTCGAAGTCGCTGGGGTCCAACTGGGAGAGGTCTATGTCGGGGAAGTCCGAGTCCAGGCGGTCGGAACACACCTCCTCCTCCCCATACTGCGAACACAAGGAGAGACCGAGGAGTTAGTGTGAGAGAGACCGAGGAGTTAGTGTGAGAGAGACCGAGGAGTTAGCGTGAGAGAGACCGAGGAGTTAGGGTGAGAGAGACCGAGGAGTTAGCGTGAGAGAGACCGAGGAGTTAGCGTGAGAGAGACCGAGGAGTTAGGGTGAGAGAGACCGAGGAGTTAGCGTGAGAGAGACCGAGGAGTTAGTGTGAGAGAGACCGAGGAGTTAGTGTGAGAGAGACCGAGGAGTTAGTGTGAGAGAGACCGAGGAGTTAGCGTGAGAGAGACCGAGGAGTTAGTGTGAGAGACCGAGGAGTTAGTGTGAGAGAGACCGAGGAGTTAGCGTGAGAGAGACCGAGGAGTTAGTGTGAGAGAGACCGAGGAGTTAGCGTGAGAGAGACCGAGGAGTTAGCGTGAGAGAGACCGAGGAGTTAGTGTGAGAGACCGAGGAGTTAGTGTGAGAGAGACCGAGGAGTTAGTGTGAGAGAGACCGAGGAGTTAGTGTGAGAGAGACCGAGGAGTTAGCGTGAGAGAGACCGAGGAGTTAGCGTGAGAGAGACCGAGGAGTTAGTGTGAGAGAGACCGAGGAGTTAGTGTGAGAGAGACCGAGGAGTTAGTGTGAGAGAGACCGAGGAGTTAGTGTGAGAGAGACCGAGGAGTTAGTGTGAGAGAGACCGAGGAGTTAGCGTGAGAGAGACCGAGGAGTTAGCGTGAGAGAGACCGAGGAGTTAGCGTGAGAGAGACCGAGGAGTTAGCGTGAGAGAGACCGAGGAGTTAGCGGAGAGAGAGACCGAGGAGTTAGTGTGAGAGAGACCGAGGAGTTAGCGTGAGAGAGACCGAGGAGTTAGTGTGAGAGACCGAGGAGTTAGTGTGAGAGAGACCGAGGAGTTAGTGTGAGAGAGACCGAGGAGTTAGTGTGAGAGAGACCGAGGAGTTAGCGTGAGAGAGACCGAGGAGTTAGCGTGAGAGAGACCGAGGAGTTAGTGTGAGAGAGACCGAGGAGTTAGTGTGAGAGAGACCGAGGAGTTAGTGTGAGAGAGACCGAGAGTGTGGAGAGACCGAGGAGTTAGTGTGAGAGAGACCGAGGAGTTAGTGTGAGAGAGACCGAGGAGTTAGTGTGAGAGAGACCGAGGAGTTAGTGTGAGAGAGACCGAGGAGTTAGTGTGAGAGAGACCGAGGAGTTAGTGTGAGAGAGACCGAGGAGTTAGTGTGAGAGAGACCGAGGAGTTAGTGTGAGAGAGACCGAGGAGTTAGTGTGAGAGAGACCGAGGAGTTAGTGTGAGAGAGACCGAGGAGTTAGCGTGAGAGAGACCGAGGAGTTAGCGTGAGAGAGACCGAGGAGTTACGTGAGAGAGACCGAGGAGTTAGCGTGAGAGAGACCGAGGAGTTAGTGTGAGAGACCGAGGAGTTAGTGTGAGAGAGACCGAGGAGTTAGTGTGAGAGAGACCGAGGAGTTAGTGTGAGAGAGACCGAGGAGTTAGTGTGAGAGAGACCGAGGAGTTAGCGTGA